ATTATTATTATTATTATTATTATTATTATTATTATTATTATTATTATTATTATTACTACATTTAAGTATATTCTAATACTGTATAATAATACGATTACAACCGTGTACACGTGATGTGGCGACGAGGCATTCGAACGAGAAAGATCACCACGGGCCCACATGGTACATGCACAAGCAGTGTTTACGAATTACGAATAATATTAATATAACACGTTATGTTCGAGTTAGTTTTGGTCCTGAGACGCAGTTCAAGTTTCATGGTTAACCGTGGGGAGGGGGGGATAAATACGTCTAAGATAACTCCAACTGATTGCAATTTTTCCATCGACGTTATATTATTTATACGATTGTGCAGTTGTTCGCGTACGCAACAGGACCCGATTGATTATATTGAATACGTTCAAAAACAATTTCTGCCACACATGGACCATTTTACAGTGTAACAATACATATTATGCAATCAAATTCGATAGGATACATTTGTAATGACCAATATCGCGTTATTTGGTTTCTCGACCACAAAAATATATTTGTTTATATAATAATATACAGTGAGATAAAAATAACACGCATATATATATATATATATCTGTAGCAGTCTTAAACGATGAAACGTGTACACGAGTAATTGCCATGATTTATGGATTTTTTTTTTCGTGATCTGTACTTACATATACTTACGTTTACTTGTCCAGTAGTTCGTGTGTATACGATTAGAATAATATACGAGTATTTAACAGCTGTAAAAATATACATACACGTAATACGTACAACTGAAATCACGGACTTACACTCACCGCGTGTTGCTCAATAACTACCCCCTACGATTCCCCCTCGAATGACACTCGTACAACTCTAAATTATTACAAATTATGACGTGATCGTCCGACCTAGACTCACGGCGATATTTTTACCACCCGCGTGGTTCTGCGTATAATTACACGTAATAATAAATATAATATGTACATTTTAATACACTAATTTGTAATCGTTTTATCGTTTATTTTTCTTTTTTTTTTCTTACAATTTTCGTCGTAAACAATAATATTATTAGCATTGCCGTAATACTACATAATCGGAATTCGAGTTCGTTGTGTAACAAATTACCAATGGCTTTACTTTTTTCGTTTTTTGTTTCGGAAGTGCTTGGAATAATAATTCGATCGCGTAGGCGGTATAATTTAGAATTTACACACTTTTTGTATGATAAATGCGTAGAAAAAATTTTATGTTACCGGATAAAATGTTCGGACATTAACACATTTGTTCATAAACATTTGCATTCATTATATAAATTATAATTAATCAATATAGAGAACAGTTCGTAATTAAAGTGAATATGTGTGTATGTGTGTGTGTGTGTGTGTGTGTGCAAACCTCAGTTCTAAAGCTCTACAAAAATATTCTTACACTCACTGAACACGAATAATGAACACAGATATATTTTCTGTTCACAAATTTTTTACTAGCATAATAATATTTTGCCTCCGTGGGTACCAAAATGCCAGTTTTATAATATACAAAGCAATGTTGTCAACACTATAGTGTACACGCATAATATGTATGTGTAATCAAGCAAACAGATATTATTTTTATCTGCTATTTAGCAATTGGCCTAAAATTCAATACCCAGTACTACTAGTACTACTACTTCTACTACTATTTCTACTTTCTAACTACTACAACTGCAACTACAACTATTTTGATTTTTTTTATGAATGGCCGGACTTGGAGGATAACCATAGCTCTGCTTTTCCGCCGGACTATTGCTATTACAACAACTACTCATTGCTGTAATCTGTAGCTAATTGTAATGTATTGCATATATATAGATACATATTTTGTATATGATCGAGTAACTTATTTTATTCCACAATTAAATGTAACCATCGGAAATTATTATTTACGTAATAATAATATTATTCAATTAATAATTTAGTCAAACGCTTTGGAAATACATTAATAACATTTTTAGTAAAATTGAATAATTCAAACTTCCTCAAAAACATTAGCACATTCCATTTGTTTGTTTGTTCTTATTTTAATTTTTTGTATTTTGTTTTATATCATATATAAATTTACTAATTTATATGACGTATATAAGCTTAATATAATATACTCTAATATTCTACATTATATACATATTAATTAATAATATTACATAGATTCTAAATTATTTATAAAAATTATTGTAATAATAATATTAGTATTTTAGAAAAATATTCTGTGATCTCTTATAAGACGTTTATGTAATAATTGTTATCGAACAGAAATCGTTTATTATAAATTGAACTTCCACTTCTCCCACTACTATATTTTATTAATAAAATATCACACAGTGTAAAGATCAAAAATAAATAATAATATTAATACATTTTTCCAGTTATTCATGGAATTAATTATTTTAATTAAAAACGATTTAAGGATTTATTTTTATTTTTTATTTTTCGAATATCCACCACCGTAACCGATCTCAATAGAAGGGTCCACAACTTTCAGCCTCTATGGTCACATTTATTAAAACCAACGGTCGACGATGACGGGCTCAATTCTGAAAATAAGATAGTGAAAAGGTTTCAATTAATCAACAATCTTTTACAGCATTTTGACGTTTCAATGGATTAATGTGCTTCGCTGAAGTGAAAACTCAAAGCCTAATATCCCCTCGTTTTCTACCACAGTAATATTATATATTTTAAAGTTTAGTAAAAATGCTTGCTGATTAAACAGACTATACGGCAATTTTTCATTTCTTAGCAAAATCCAATGAATGTGTTTCATCGGGAACCAGCAGCTCTTTAACCAACTAAGTTCTTGAGATACATATACTTACAAATAGAAAAAAATCCCCTCGAATAATTTCCCTCTTCCCTTCGTCATGCATTATCCAGTTGATGTTAGCCATAATAATAATAAAACCAAACCATAAAAGAGATCCCACTCGTATTTCATATTTATATATTTTATTATTATTTGTATACACAAACACGAGGTCGATTGATATGTCATTTAAAACACGTTCAACTTAAATCGTTTACGTATTTAAATAATTAATTAATTTAGTCGAATAAAATTACTCTCAAATACTATTATTTAGATATTATACCTAAATAGTAAAGAATGAAAGAACCATAATTATTTTTTAGCTAATATAAATTGAACGAACATGAGCAGCATTAGAAACAATTCTCGTTTGGTTTCTCGCCGAATAATAGTTATCGCACACGTTTCAAAATTACCTAACCATAGGGCTGACTGTAAATTAGTAGAATTCATACGAAATACCGACACCAAATTTATTAGTCATTGAAGTCAAATACCGTATATGATCATTGTAATAATGAATTAATATTAATTACCCGCATTAATAGAAATGTCCCCATGACCTGTAATGCGCAACGCGTAATATGTCGTTTAGATTAATTTGAAATGCATTAGACGAGTTCGTTCAGAGACTGATTCAGAACAGTGTAGAATAGTTATTATATAATATTATATTATAATATACATAAATATTATATGATATTATTATAATTGAATTTTTTTTTTTTTCTAACGTACGAAAAATTATTTAAAAAATTAATAGAAACATTAGGAAAATGTTTACGTGATCTTAAACGGTTTAAATTTAATGCAATTATATATAATATTAAATGATAATACCTTAGACACGTTTTAAGAAATTAATTTTTTTGTTCCGTTATTTATTTATTTATTTATTTTAATTACTATTATTATTCTTTTTTGTACATGAAATATTTATAATAAACGATATTTCTACATATTTCTACATATATATTTTATGTATGTATAATAGCCTGATGTATTGTGTACATTTTGTTTTCTAAAAAAAAATGATTTTGCCCACATTGTGATACTACAAGCTTTGGTTACTTGTATTCTTATGACTACTATTTTTAACTACTATATATATAAATAATATAGTTTAATATAACATAATATAAATCTTATACTTGCACTACGTATAAAAATTAATGATACAAGTTTAGTATTTAGTTTTTTAGTGTTGTTACCTTGCTATAATACGTGCTTTTATAATATACTGTAGGATTTATATTGTTGTATAATAAATAATTACCGATCTTATAATTATGTATAGGAAAAATAAAACAAACATCTGTTAGCAATAAATTTGAAACACAATAATTGTCAAATATTATTTATTGACTTTTTTTTTCAGCCATCTATTGACTTTTTGTACTTTTTTCAAACTCATCCGATCCCTCGACTCCATTACAAATCTTTGTTTTTAGGCAATGCGAGTTACGTATAATTGTATCGAATGATGTATAAAGAATCATAAAAGTATTTTTTTAAATTTTTTATAAAAGTACCATTAGGAATTAGGATTCAAATCTTGGAAATATAAAAGTTTTAAAAAGTTCATAAACCTTGTTTGGGAACATAACCAACATGACTCTTTGGTCCCGTTATCGTTCCTACATATGTATTATGCTGATAAAACTACACGGCTATACCATTATATTGTTTTAAACAAAATAATATTTATTTTAAAATTATTAGTAAGCACCAAATTAACGTAAATAATATTAATTCCCTACCACTACAAAGTGATTCATTCATCCAACCAACAACTAAAGTACATTTATTTTATCTATACACTTTTACAGGCTAATTTTTATCAATTTTGAAGTGTTCTTCTTACTTGTATTTTAACAATAAATCTCTTTTTAATTTTCACCATTACATTTGTATCATTAATTGTACCACAAATATCATAAGTCTTGTTTGATCTGTAATCACACTTTAATTCTAACAAGCATTATATATGTTATTTATGTCTAATAAAATGTAAGTTAAATCTCAAAATTGGTTTTTTTTATTATTATTTATTTATTTATTTTATTTTTTTTGTATGATTGACAAAAATTTCGTCTATTTTATTATTTGTTAATTTGTCTAATCA